GATTCCTGATGGTGCCAACACCTCCAGCACTGCAGGTTTCCAGCACAAAACTGGGTGGTTGTTTTAGCCCATGCCTGGAATGCCTGTGAGACAGAACCACCCATTCCCTTGAAGGAAAGGAGGCTGAAGGCAAGGAGCCAAGTGATCTGGCTCAGCAGGTCTGACCCCTACAAAGACCAGCAAACTGAAACCCACTGGCTTGAGATTTATGCAGCCAGCACAGCAGTTTGAGCTTGACCTAGGATGGTCGAACTAGTAGCGGGAGGGACATCTGCCATTACTAAGGCAGTTTTAATCTTGCTTGTATAAACCAAATTGCAAGGAAGTTTACATAGCAGCAGGGCAGAGCCTGCAGCAGCTCAGCAACACCTCTGCAGGCAGATTGTGACTAGGCTCCCTTCTTGCTGGGCAGGGCGTCTCGGAAAAAAGTCAGCAGCTCATCAGGGACTTATAAGTAAAGCCCCACCTTCCCAGGATGGAACTCCAGGGAAAAGGCAGTTGTGAGTTCCACTGCAGCATAATTAAACGTCTCTGCCCAGCAGCTCTGAAGGGAGAAAGGGAGCTCCCAGCATAGCACTTGAGTTCTGATAAAGGACAGACTGGCTCCTCAAGTGGTTCCCTGACCCTCTTATATCCAAAAAGGCACCTCTTAACGGAGAGCTCTGGCTGACATCTGGCGAGTACTCTTCTGGGACAAAGCTACCAGAGGAAGAAACAGGCAGTAATCCTTGCTGTTCTGCAGCCCCTGTGGGTGTTTCCCAGGCAAGCAGGGTCTGTAGTACATCTCCAGCAGTCCTGTGCAGAGGGGCCTGACTGTTAGAAGGTAAACTAAAAAACAGAAAGAAGTAGCTTCAACGTCAACAGAAAGGACGTCCACTTAGAGACCCCATCTGAAAGTCACCAAGTTCAAAGACCAAAGGTAGATAAATCCATGAAGATGGGAGGAAACCAGCTCAAAATGGCTGAAATTACAAAAAAACCACCTTTCCTCTTCCAAGGGATCACAGCTCCTCACCAGCAAGGAAACAAAACTGGACAGAGAATGAGTTTGACAAATTGACAGAAGGAGACTTCAGAAGGTAGGTAATAACAAACTTCTCTGAGCTAAAGGAACATGTTCTAACCCAATGCAAAGAAACTAAGAACCTTGGAAAAAGGTTAGACAAAATGCTAACTAGAATAACCAGCTTAGAGAAGAATATAAATGACTTGATGGAGCTGAAAAACACAGCATGAGGACTTCACAAAACATACACAAGTTTCAAGAGCCAAATCGATCAAGCAGAAGAAAGAATATCAGAGATTGAAGATCAACTCGATGAAATAAAATGAGAACCCGAGCTAAGAGAAAAAAGAGTGAAAAGATATGAACAAAACCTCCAAGAAATATGGGATTATGTGAAAAGACCTAATCTATATTTGATAGGTGTACCTGAATGTGACAGAGAGAATGAATCCAAGCTGGAAAACACTCTTCAGGATATTATTCAGGAGAACTTTACCAACCTAGCAAGGCAGGCCAACATTCAAATCCAGGAAATACAGAGAACACCACAAAGATATTCCTCAAGAAGAGAAACCCAAGGCACGTAATCATCAGATTCACCAGGGTTAAGGAAAAAATACTAAGGGAAGCCAGACAGACAGGTTGGGTCACCCACAAAGGGAAGCCCATCAGACTCACAGCAGATCTCTTGGCAGAAACCCTACAAGCCAGAGAGAGTGGGAGCCGATATTCAACATCCTTAAAGAAAAGAACTTTGAACCCAGAATTTCATATCTAGCTAAAGTAAGTTTCTTAAGTGAAGGAGAAAAAAAATCCTTTATGGACAAGCAATTGCTGAGAGATTTTGTCACTACGAGGCCTGCCTTACAAGATATCCTGAAGGAAGCACTAAACACGGAAAGGAACAACCAGTACCAGCAACTGCAAAAACATAACAAGTGGTAAAGACCATTGACACAATGAAGAAACTGTGTCAACTAATGGTCAAAACAACCAGCTAGTATCAAAATGGCAGGATCAAATTCACATATAACAATATTAACCTTAAATATAAATAGGCTAAATACCAACCAAAAAAAGTCCAGGTCCAGATGGGTTCACAGCCAAATTCTACCAGACGTATGAAGAGGAGCTGGTACCATTCCTTCTGAAACTATTCCAAACAATACGAAAAGAGGGAATTCTCCCTTAGTCACTTTGTGAGACCAACATCATCCTGATACTAAAACCCGGCAGAGACTCAACAAAAAAAGAAAACTTCAGGCCGATATCCATGATGAACATAGATGCAAAAATCTTCAATGAAATACTGGCAAATCAATTGCAATAGCACATCAAACAGCTTATCCATCACGATCAAGTAGGCTTCATCCCGGGGATGCAAGGCTGGTTCAACATATGCAAGTCTATAAATGTAATCCACCACATAAACAGAACCAAAGACAAAAACTACATGACTCTCTCAATATATGCAGAGTAGGCCTTTGACAAAATTCAACAGCCCTTTATGCTAAAAACTCTCAATAAACTAGGTATTGATGGAATGTATCTCAAAATAATAAAAGCTATTTGTGACAAACCCACAGCCAATATCATAATGAATGGGCAAAAACTGGAAGCTTTCCCTTTGAAAACTGGCACCAGACAAATGTGCCGTCTCTCACCACTCCTATTCAACATAGTATTGGAAGTTCTGGCTAAAGCAATCAGGCAAGAAAAAGAAATAAAGCGTATTTAGTTCGGAAAAGAGGAAGTCAAATTGTCTCTATTTGCAGATGACATGATTGTATATCTGGAAGACCCCATATTCTCAGCCCAAAATCTCCTTAAGATGATAAGCAACTTCAACAAAGTCTCAGGATACAAAATCAATGTGCAAAAATCTCAAGCATTCCTATAAAACAATAACAGACAAGCAGAGAGCCAAACATGAGTGAACTCCCATTCACAATTGCTACAAAGAGAATAAAATACCTAGGAATACAACTAACAAGGGACATGAAGGACCTCGTCAAAGAGAGCTACAAACCACTTCTCAAGGAAGTAAGAGAAGACGCAAACAGATGGAAACATTCCATGCTCATGGATAGGAGAATCAGTATCATGAAAATAGCCATACTGCCCAAAGTAATTTATAGATTAAATGCTTATCCCATCAAGCTATCATTGACCACAGAACTGGAAAAAACCACCTTAAACTTCATATGGAACCAAAAAAGAGCCCATATAGCTGAGACAGAAAGAACAAAGCTGGAGGCATCACACTACCTGACATCAAACTATACTACAAGGCTACAAAATAAAAATAGCATGGTACTAGTACCAAACAGAGATATAGACAAATGGACCAGAACAGAGGCCTTGGAAGTAACACCACACATCTACAACCATCTCATCTTTGACAAACTTGACAAAAACAAGCAATGGGGAAAAGATCACCTGTTTAATAAATTGTGTTGGGAAAACTGGCTAGCTGTGTGCAAAAAGCTGAAACTGGACCCCTTCCTTACACCTTATACAAAAATTATCTCTAGATGGATTAAAGATTTAAACATAAGACCTAATATCATAAAATCCTAGAATAAACCTAGGAAATACCATTCAGGACATAGGCATCAGCAAGGACTTCATAACACCAAAAGCATTGTCAGCAAAAGCCAAAATTGACAAATATGATCTGATTAAACTAAAGAGCTTCTGCATAGCAAAAAAAAACCAATCATTATATTGAACCAGCAACCAACAGAATGGGAAAAAAATTTTGCAATCTACCCATCTGACAAAGGGCTAATATCCAGAATCTATAAAGAGCTAAAACAAATTTACAAAAAAAAAACAACCCCATCAAAAAGTGGGTAAAGGATATGAACAGACACTTTTCCAAAAAGACATTTATGCAGCCAACAAACATATGAAAAAATGCTCATCATCACTGGTCATTAGAGAAATGCCAATCAAAACCACATTGAGATATCATCTCACGCTAGTTAGAATGGCAATCATTAAAAAATCTGGAGATAGCAGGTGCTGGAGAGGATGTGTAGAATAGAAACACTTTTACACTGTTGATGGGAGTGTAAATTAGTTCAACCATTGTGGAAGACAGTGTGACAATTCCTCAAGGATCTAGAAATAGAAATGCCATTTTACCCAGCAATCTCATAACTGGATATATACCCAAAGGATTATAAATCATCCTATTATAAAGACACATGTACACGTATGTTCATTGTGGCACTGTTTACAAGAGCAAAGACGTGGAACCACAAAATGCCCATCAATGATAGCTGGATAAAAAAAGTATGGCATATATACACTGTGCAATACTATGCAGCCATAAAAAAGGATGCGTTCATTTTCTTTGCAGGGACATGGATGAAGCTGGAAACCGTCATTCTCAGCAAACTGACACAAGAATACAAAACCAAACACCACATGTTCTCACTCATAAGTGGGTGTTGAACAATGAGAAGACGTGGACACATGGAGGGGAACATCACACACTGGGGCCTGTTGTGGTAGGGGAGGAATAGCAGGGAGTGAGAGTATTGGGGAGGGAAAACATTAGGAGAAATACCTTATATAGGTGATGGAGGATGGATGCAGCAAACCATCATGGCATGTGTATACCTATGTAACAATCCTACATGACCTGCACATGTACCCCAGAACTTAAAGTATAATAATAATAATAATAATGATAATAATAATAAAAAGAAGATATCCATGTGGCCAATAAGCTTATGAAAAAATGTTCAACATTACTAATAATTAGAGAAATGCAAATCAAAACCACAATGAGATAACTTCTCACACCAGTCAGAATGGCTATTACTAAAAATTCAAATAATTACAGATTCTGGCAAGGTTGCAGAAAAAAGGGAATGCTTATTAGCTGCTGGTGGGAGAGCAAATTAGTTCAACCATTGTGGAAAGTAGTGTGACGATTCCTCAAAAACTAAAAACGCAATTACCATTTACCGTAGCAATCCTGTTATTTGGTATGTTCCCAAAGGAATATAAATCATTCTACCATAAAGATGCATGCATGCATATGTTCATCACAGCACCTTTCATAATAGCAAAGATATGGAATCAGACTAAATAGTCATCAGTGGTAAGGTGGTTAAAGACAATGTAGTATATATACACCATGAAATATCATCAGTTATGAAAATGAACAAAATCATGTTAATTGCAGCAACATGGATGGAGATGGAGACCATTATCCTAAGCAAGCTAACACAGGAACAGAAAACCAAATACCACATGTTCTCACTTATAAGTAGGAGCTAAACGATGAGAACACATAGATATAAACAGGAAACCAACAGACGTTGGAGCCTCCTTGATGATGGAAGGGGAGAAAATGAAGGGGATCAGAAACAATACCTATCTGGTACTATGCTTAGTAACTGGGTAACATAATAATCTCTACACCAAACTCCCCTGACACAAGTTTACCTCTATAACAAATCTGCACATATATCCCTGAATCTAAAGTAAAATTTAAAAAAGACCAATACAGTGCCACTTAAGACAGAGTGAAAAATATGAAATACTTAGGTGTAAATTTGGCAAAAGATGCAAAATATTTCTAACTGAAAACTACAGAACACTGTTAAGAGAAATTTTAAAAGACCTACATAAATGGAGTAATGTGAGTACACTGTGTTCATGAGTCAGAAGTATCAATATTATTAATATGTCAGTTCTCCCCAAATTGTTCAGTAGGCTCAGTGCACATTTTAAAATCTGTGCAGGATATTGTGTATAAATTGACAAACAATTCTGTTATTATTAAAAATTAAAGTACCTAGATTTGCTAAAAAAAAATCTGAAGATCAAATTTGAAAGCCTTTTACTATGTGATTTCAAAATTTATAACTACAGTATTCAAGACATTGAAATAAAAAATAGACATGCACCAATAGAACAGTCAGGAATACCCACTTGTATAAGACCAGTGATTTTTGGCAAAGCTGCAAAGGCAATCAGTGATAGATTGATAGTCTTTTCAACAACTGATAATAGAGGCTTTATATGTCCCTGCTCAAAGAAAATGAACTATCCACACCCATACTGTATCCAAAAGTTAACTCAAGATGGATCATAGAGTTAAATGTAAAAGCTAAAATTATAAAACTCCTAGGAGAATATTTTTACACCTTTGGCTAGGCAAAGATTTCTTACACAAGATACCGCAACCATGATTCATTAAACAGCAGATTAATAAATTGGATTTTCTCAAAACGAAGATGTGACTTTTCTTTGAAGGACACTGTTAACATAACGAATAGCCAAGTCACAGACTGGAAGAAATATTTGCAAATCCTATATCTGATAAAGGACTTTTATCAAAATACATAAGACATTTTGATCTAGTTCCTTTATATTTTGATATTTTAAATATATAGAAAACTGTCAAAACTCATGAATTAAAATAAATTAAAAATGGGCATAAGATTTAAGACTCTTAAGGGAGATATAAGGGTGCTAAATAATTACATAAAAAGATGCTCAACAGTAGTTTTTAGGGAAATGCAAACAAGATACCATTACATAATAAAATGAGTAAAGCAAAAGATTGTCCATACTAGACATTGCAGAGGATTTTCACACATTGCTAAGTTTCTCCTACACTGAAACTTAGATTTATATGTTACGAAGATTCTCATACACTGCTGGTGGGAAAGTAATTTGTTACAGCCTTTTTGGAGACATTTTGGAAGTTTTTTTAAAGAGTTAAAAATGGATCTACCATATAGCCCAGCCATTCCACTCCTAGATGTTTACCAAAAATAAGTAAAAGCATATGTCCATACAGCACTTATAAGTGAATGCTAATTGCATTTTTGCTTGTATTAATAATAGCCAAAGAACACAAATGCTTGTCAACTGGGAAATATATCAGCACACTGATATACCCATATAATGGAATATTACTCAGCAATAAAAAAGAATGAACTATTGTTCTACAACACAACATGGATGAAACTCAATATAATTATACTAACTGAAATAAGATAGACAAAATGGTTATATAGCATATATTACATTTAGGTTTATATACGATTTTAAGAAATATAAACCAATTAATGAAATGCAAAGCTAACAAAAGAGAAAAATAACCAAGTAGATAAAATTCTTAAAACTGAAATGATAAAGAAGAGATTAGACGTAAATAAATAATATGAGTGTAAAAAGGGAGGTAACTTCAGATAAAGTATATATTCAAGTAAGTTCAGGCCAGGCATGGTGGCTCAAACCTGTAATCCCAATACTAAAGTGAGGCTGAGGTGGGCAAATCACTTGAGGTCAGTATTCATGAACAGCCTGGCCAAGATGACGAAACCCCATGTCTACTAAAAATACAAAACTTAGCTAGGCATGGTGGCATGTGCCTGTATCCCTGGCTACTTTTGAGGCTGAACCATGAGAAGCACTTGAATCCGGTAGCTGGAGGTTCTAATGAGCAGAGATCATGCCACTGCACTCCTTCATGGGTGGCAGAGAGAGACTCTGTTTGAAAAAAATATATAATAATAATATAAAATAAGTTCAATTTAGGCAAGAGAACTCTATTAGTATATGCCAGACACATTGAAAATATACATCATGTGGACAAATTATTTAAAAAATAATATTTATGAAGCTGACTCAATAAGAAATAAAAAGCTCAAACATTTATCTGTAGATATTATTAATATGTTGAAAGAGGAGGCAAAACTTGTTTTAACAAAGAAAACACTTGTCCCAGACAATTTTTACAGGTTATTTATACTGAATCTTAAAGAACTGATTATCCCAATCAAATAAAACTCTTGCAGAATATACATACAATATGAATATTTCCAAGCTCATTTACAAGGGGAACATAACTTTTTTACAAGAAGTTTACAAAGCCATTCCAAGAAGGGAAAGTTACAGGCTCATTTTACTCCTATATGTAGATGACCGCAAAAAAGGCTATATAAAATATTGGCAAACTAAATCCAATAGTTTTATAAGAATCTATAAACATGTTTTTTTAACTATAATATGTTTTTTTATTTTGTGTATATATATATAATTGCATTTTAGGATCTGGGGCACATGTAAAGAACATGCAGGATTGTTGCATAGGTACACACATGGCAATGTGGTTTGCTGCCTCCATCCCAATCACTATATCTAGCATTTCACCCCATGTTATCCCTCCCCGACTCCCAACCCGCCACTGTCCCTATCCTAGTCCGTCCACCCACAGACCTCAGTGTGTGATGCTCCCCTCCCTGGGTCCATGTGTTTTCATTGTTCAACACCCGCCTATGAGGGAGAACATGTGGTGTTTGATTTTCTGTTCCTGTGTCAGTTTGCTGAGAATGATGGTTTCCAGGTTCATCCATGTCCCTACAAAGGACACAAACTCATCATTTTTTATGGCTGCATAGTATTCCACGGTGTATATGTGCCACATTTTCCCTGTCCAGTCTATCATTGATGGGCATTTGGGTTGGTTCCAAGTCTTTGCTATTGTAAACAGTGCCACAGTGAACATACATTTGCATGTGTCCTTATAATAGAATGATTTATAATCATTTGGGTATATACCCAGTAATGGAATTGCTTGGTCAAATGGAATTTCTATTTCTAGGTCCTTGAGGAATTACCACCAATCCCATTACCAAGTATATACATTGATGGACAGATATTAATCATTCTACCATAATGACACAGACAAATCAGACAAATATAAATCATTCGACCATAATGACACATGCATGTAAATGTTCATTGCAGCGCTATTCACAATAGCAAAGACATGGAATAAACCTAAATGCCTCTCAATGACAGACTGGATAAAGAAAATGTGATACATATATACCATAGAATACTATGAAGCCATAAAAAAGAATGACATCATGTCTTTTGCAGAAATATGTATGGAACTGGAGGCCATTATACTTAGCAAACTAATGCAGGGAACAGAAAATCAAATACATGTTCTTCCTTGGGGGGGCTAAATAATGAGAACTCATGAACAACGAATAAATAACACACTGGGGTCTACTTGAGGGTAGAGGGTGGGAGGATGGGAAGGAGCAGAAAAGATAACTGTTGGAAACAGGGCTTAATACCTGGGTGATAAAATAATCTGTACAATAAACTCTTGTGACACGAGTTCACCTATGTAACAAACCTTCACATATGTACCTTCAAACCTAAAATGAAAGTTTAAAAAAGAATAAATGAACTGGAAAAAGTGTTATTTATAAAGAAAAGAAAATAGAAGAAACTGAGCTTTTTCTTGCACCATATACAAAAAAGTTAACTCTAGATGGATTAAGGACTGAAATATAATTTAAGGCTCAGTAAGGAAACCAAAGCATTTAGTGCTGGATATCAAATAAGATATTTATTATGAAAATTAAACTTTGCAAAATGGTGGGAGAAGCTGGGAATTCTTTTGAGAAGGTTCTAAGACAATGGTTGAGGAATCTGAGAAAAGTCACTTGCCAAAGACCACAAAGAGGATCTAGTGAAAAAGTCTGTGGAAGTCTGTTCCCTCTTCATTTAATAGTGGTTCTGGAAGTGTTTGTGGGACAAAAGGATAAACCGGCTAGGAAAAATGCATTCAAAAAAGAAAATCAAGGAAAACTAGAACCCGTGAAGACAAGCTGGAACCTGCGTTTATCTCTTATCCCCTCTAACCCTGATTTTGTGGACCATCTACAGAAGCAACTGCAACTAATGTCCTTTGTCATGAATCTCCAGGTGTGCTTAGTTCAGGTCTAGTATAAGATTCAAAAAGGGGATTTATCAGGATCAGAGAAGCATCTAAAATCCTAGGCTTTGGTTTTATCACACCTATTTTAAAAACCAGAAGGAAGTGAAAGGAAAAATTGCAAAATTACAATCATAGTGACAATCTCTCAAAAATGTGAACTGCACAGTTGTTATTAGAGCATGCTCCCAACCGATAGACAATATATGTTCTTTTTATCTATAAATGAAACATTTGTAAAATTTTGCCATTATTTTTGAAATGATGCATTTATATGGTATAAACTTAAAAGCATAAATTGTGGTGTCTCTCATCCTCTTTTCTCAAACTTCTAGTTCTCTTTTCATGAATGAACCACTATTACCAACTTCTGTATTTTTGCAGATATTTTATGCACACACAGACAAATGCATATGGATTATTTTTTCTAACAAATAGGGACATGTTATTACTATTTTGTGCACTCTGCTTTTTGTTTTTAATTTCTATTGTTTTAGTGATTACTTTTGTAATATTAACATGCATACCTAAAAAAGTAATGTCAATTAATATCTGTACCTTTTTTCCAAACCGTATAAAATTTTGCAATTTGATAAGCACCTACTTCCCTATCATCTAACATATTTCTAACAGAATTTTACCTTTGCATCCAGATTAATCATTATTTTAATTGTCATTTTAGGATGTGTTAGCTTTACCTGAATTTTTACCACTTTTTTTTTTGCATTTTACCCCTTCATTTTGGGATTAGCTTCTTTATTTTTGAAGTACTTTTTAAAGATACTGTTTCACTGAACAATTGGAAAGAGGCTTTGTTTTTCTGAATATTTTTCTTTGGGTTTTTTGTTTTGCTTTGATTTTTTTTTTTTTTTTT